TCTTTCTTTCTTTCTTTCTTTCTTTCTTTCTTTCTTTCTTTCTTTTTCTTTCTCTTTCTTTCTTCTTTCTTTCTTTTTCTCTCTCTCTCTCTTTCTTTTTCTCTTTTTCTTCCTTCTTTCTTCCTTTTTCTTTTTCTTTCTTTCTTTCTTTCATCAGAATTTTTTTAAAAATTAGAAGAGACTTTTTAAGGCCTGTCATGAAGTGCATTTATTAGCCACCACCTCTCTGATGTACTAAGGCCCATTCGTTAAAGGAGGGCTCGATGCTGGCCAAACTCACCCAGAGTAACACAACACCTGTACTCTAAGGCCTCCGGTGATCCTGTCCCCAGAAAATGGAGACACCTGGTGTCTCACTGCCTTTCGGTCATTCATATCCTCAGCAAGGATGACATTAATCTGCCTACTGGAACGACGGCCACCAGTCACTGAGGGCACCTGCATGACAAGTCCTGTGCTGAGCATCTTACAAAAGGCACTGTAGCTTTAGTCTACACAACACTGTACTGACACACTCTACCACAGCCCCGTGCGGGGAGCGCCTTATCCTCACTTGACAGTTGAATCACAGACCTGACGCTGAAAGTTTCCCTATAAAATAGCTCCCCGACCACCCAACAAGCCAGCCCTGGTTGGCAGCGTTCGCCCAACTCCCTGGTGTAAATGCTCCCGCGGTGGCAGACTTCACTGCCCACGGGCGGAGCCAGGAAGAGATGCGCATAGTTGGCTCTCAGGATGAGGGCTGGATCCCCGCACCCCTGGGTGCAGCAGGGTGCCCCTTCAGACAATCGGTGTCACGCTCAGGCTGGCACCAGAGACAGAGAGCCTCGGGGGTGAGAGGGCTGCAGAAAAAGAGGCAGGAGGGTGGGGGAGCCCCTCCCTTCCTCCTTCACCTCACAGCAGGGACAGGAGCATCTCCTAACCTGCACTGCCTCAGGTCATCTTTGCCCACATTACCCAAGGTGCTCTGGTCTGAACAACTGTGTCCCCCTTCAACTCAAGTTGAAATCCTAATGCCCGCTGGATGGTGTTAAGGGGTGGGGCTTTTGGAAGGTGCTTTGGTCATGAGGGTGGAGCCCCCAGGCACGGGATGAGTGCCCTTCATGAACGAGACCCCCAGAGAGATTCCTCGTCCCTTCTGCCAAGGTGGTTATGGCAAAAAGACAGCCAACGGTGAGGAAGTGGGCCCTCGGCAGACACCAAATCTGCCAGCACCTTGATCTTGGTCTTCCCAGCCTCCAGAACTATGAGAAATAAACTTCTGTTGATTATAAGCCTCCCAGTTTATGACATTTTGTTATAATAGCTCGAACAGACTAAGGCACAAGGGCTCTGCCCCTAATCTGTTACCACACAGGGCAGCCAGAGGGGACTTTAAAAACTCAGCCGCACACCCTCCCTGCTTAAAGAAAGAATCCACCTCCTTCCTTGGCCATCGGGGCTCGGGGATCCTGCCCCAGCTCCCTGGCCGGTGCTCTTGCTTGCTCCCCAGAACCCCCTGCTCCCTCTGGCCACAGGCTTCCGTACGGAGTGCTCCTGTGCCCAACCCCTATCCGGCAGTCCTCAGCCCCACCATCACCTGACAGGAATGCCTTCCCTGCACCCCTGCCGGGGTCAATTCCTCCCAGAGCGACCTGCACGGTACCAAGAGAGCAGGGCTCCCGCTGAGATGTTTTCTGGACAGATCCGGCCTTTCCGGAGAAAGGTGATATTTGTTAGAACCTAAAGGACAAGAAGGAACCAGCTGTGTGAAGATGTCAGCAGGTGCTTGCTGGATGAAGGAATGTTGGGAGCTGTCCCAGGTGGAACCACCATCCGAGAAACTTCCACAGAACACGAGAGTTCCCTTCATACCCAACAGCTAGCCTAACACCTGTGCACAGGAAATGCTTAAGTGTTTTGCTGAAACGAAATTAGCGATCAGACCTAATTGCTCGGTGCAGGAATAAGGCTGGTGGCCTGGCACTGACTTAGATTCGAGGTTCTGCCATCTCACGAGGGCCTTTTTCCTTCTCTAAGAGGCTGGTCCTTCGCAACTTTTTACTACAAAAAACTTCCGACGTATAGAAAATGTGGGAGATAATCACAAGCGATGGGCTTATTTCCCACCACCCAGATTCTCCAATCCTTCACGTTCTGAACAAGGGCCCCTTTAAAAAAGGGTTGTCTTTCCCACCATCGAAGGAGGACGGCTGTTTTTGAGACTTTGCCATGGGAAGGCCATGACTGAGAACACAGAGATCCGGAAGGGATGTTCCCGAGTGAGGCAGGAGTTGACAAGAATTCCTGGGGAGGGCCCAGCTGGGGTGTCAAGTTAGGGCCCACTTGTGGGTGTTTGTGATCACGTGCACGTGTGAGTATGTGTGTGACAGTGGGTCTGCATGTAACAGCACACACAGGCATGCTATCGTGTATGTACGAGCGACCGTGCGTACGTTGTAAGCGTGTGAAGGTGTGTATGTGCGTGTGAGTGTGAATGTGTGTTCGAACATGCAGGCTGGGGGAAGAGGCAGAGGGGCAGTTCTGAGGTATCCAGGCCCTAGCAAGGAAAGGGTTTAAGACGGAAGGCTAGGTATTTGCTGAAAGGATCCGTGCTTTCTCTTCAAGTGCACACTTGAGACCACGCACGACACACGTGTGACCGACCCAAAGCCTCACCCGCCCCCGGCACCCAGGCTGCCAGTGTCTTGGGAAGATGCTGGACTCCAGAGGCAGAAACCAACAGAGAACAAAATGCAAAAAAACAAAAACGATGTGTTGGGATGGCAATGCAGAATTTTTTCAAATGATTATTCCTTCAGTATAATCCTTTGGTTAAATGTTGTTGCTATAACTCTGCTTTCTTTTCAACAAGTTTTTTCAAGGATTACCAGGAGACTCTAATGTTGCCGTTACCTATGGCTTCTCTCGGGCTGACCCGCCACGCCTGTAAGGGTGACCTACTCGCTAAAAAGCAGTTCCTTTTGGCCTGCAGTGGGTTAATCACAAAACTAATGTGCGTTACAGGTGACACAAGTCAACGGAGAGAAATGCAAGAATCAGAGCAGAAGAGGTTGCTCCAGCCAGAAACCCTTCTGCTTTCTTTGTCCAGGAAGAGACACTGGGTACAGAGCCCCTGCTTCGGTGAAAGCAGAAGAGGCGAGTTCATAAATATCTGGAACCAGGGTGGGCTTCCTCTGAAAAGGAGAACTGGCTCCTCGTTTGGGGGAAAAGCAATTGCATCCTCTTGCCACCCCTGATACCTTTAGCATGGGTACAACTGAGGTTTACATATTAGGAAGGACTTTTTAAATTCAGGGATTTGTAAGAAAGCACACGGATGTACGGGCGTACACACACACACAAATACACACAAACTTCACCCAAATACCCACAATTACAAAAACGGGTAGGACATCTCTATTAAGAAGTCTCTAAGTGGGACAAATACCAACTGGCAGAGAATCTCCACGAGGGCTGTGAATGAAACAGGGAACCCGCACCCCAAACACGCTGTCCCCCTCAGACATTACTTACTAGGCTGGCATTTAAAGGAGACCAGGAGGTATTTACTGCTTCCTGGGCAAAGGTCAGGTCCAAAAACACGGCTATTGACCAGGAGGTGGCAGGCCCGCTGGTTCTGGCATTCGTCCAGCACCTTCTAAAATGAGGGGGTAGAAAAGGGATAGGCTTGAAAAACCACATGCAGCGTCTGGGAGACCCCACACCCGGGCGGCTCTGGGCTCCGAGAAGGGAGAGACACCTGTCTGTCCGGCCTGGGGTCCGCACAAAGAACCTTCAAGCGGCCATGAGCTGCGTCTAAGGCGAGATCAGGTCGGCTCCCTGCCTCCCTGTCTTTCCCAGAACAGGACACCTGACCCAACAGTGGCAGACCCCCAGCCAAAGACCAGCCTCCAGTCGGCCTTGGCTGGAAGTGCTGCCGATGGTTTTGGCAAAAGTACCACATGGGGGAGGCTCCAGGAAATATGAGCAAGATCCGAGAAACTCAGAGCGTGGGCGAGACGGGCCTCGGAGTTCCCTTCTGGGAGGGCTGGGACAGTGCCGTGGGGATCAGGGATCACAGCCGTAACTCTCCAGCCTCGGAAATGGCCAGGCACCGACCACAGAGAACTCAGCATTTGGGGGAGGCCTTGGAGACGCAACCCAAACACAGGCCAACTGATAAAAATTAAGAAGCTGATTCCCACCTTCGCCAACCTCCAGGGCACAGGACCCACTGGTTCCCTTTGGAGCAATTTTCTTCATGGAATGCTCAGGCTTTGCTGTTGAGCATTTGGCTTACACATGTTCCTTCAAATGTCTCTTGCTCTCGATTTTTTTTCCGGGCAGTTCGCCCCTTCGGTTTTTGTTCTGTTTTGTTTTGTTTTTTTGCTTGTTTGTTTTCACAAAGCTACTTTTTTTTTTAAGACTTTATTTATTTATTTGGCAGAGAGATAGACAGAGCCAGAGAGCACAAGCAGAGGGAATTGCAGAGGGAGAGGGAGAAGCAGGCTCTGCACTGAGCAGGGAACCCGATGCGGGACTCGATCCCAGAACCCTGGGATCATGACCCAAGCAGAAGGCGGACGCTTAACCAACCCCTACATGGGGTCCCAGCGGGGCCTAGCGCCTCGCTTCTGCTCTTCTGCTTCCCAAATGGAGCAAACCCTGCCCATGACAGTCACAGAAGCCTTACAATCTGTGGCTGTTAAAAGGACCCCAAGTCCAGTGGACATTTCCCAAGAACGTACTGGACTAAATTTAGCACAGATTCCCGAGCCTGAGTTGCCGTGCTCCTATAGTGGCTCATGGCGTATGTCCATGGAGGAGGCTGGCCCTACCAGCTATCCCCTCAGGAGCCCAGCAGATGTGTATGAAATCAGGAAACATGCCCAGGGAGACCCTGAGGACCCCCCCCCAACACACACACACAGATGACGGGACACATTCTTGTGGCCGAGGGTCATCGTGAAATGACTCAGCCCTTGGGTGGCTCCACATATGTATTACAACCACAGAGTGGGACTCAAGGCAGGGCTGTTTCCAAACAGTGTCACGGCTGAAAAATGCACAGGGGAGGGGGGCCTTCCTGGTGACACTCAGCCACGGGCCAGATCAGCTGAGGGGCTCCTGGGTGGACTGTGACACCTGTTCTCTCCTACGTTGGGCACTTTCACTCTGAGGTAGAGGAAGCCCCTTGTCACGGTCCCCAAGGCCAGTCAAAAGACACGGAATAAAACCTCTCTTGATCTCTGGATGAAAGAGTAGTGCACGCGGATGCTTCTGGCAAACAAACCTTCCGCGCAACTTCAGAGCTGTGTTCACAAATGCTAACTTGTCTGCTTGGCTATGGAAACATCCTCTTCCCTCGGGCCTGCCTGGCAGAGCCAGGCACCCATGTTGGAGGATGAGGGTGGTGCCCAGGCTTTGGAGCTGCCAGGGGTTCATCCTTTCCCAAAGCAGGCACTCCCGTCCTATTGGCACTGGCCAATGTTCCTTTTATGCACCCAGGACAGCAACAGACGGCCTGGGTACCAGGGATGGGTGGGCAGGGAAGTTGGGGTGAGGACTGGGGGCAGGCCAACAGGAATACGGCTCCTGCAGGGGCAGCCAAGGGGCAGGAATGGGGTGGGGGGCACACAAGGAAAGTGCTCATCCCTGGAAGAAACATGTGGCCTCTCCTCAGGATGTGGAATCCACATCCAGGGAATGCACTCAAACATATTCCTTTGGCTACTCAGCGGGTATCTTTACCAATCACATGACTACACAGATACTACAATGCTTGGGATGGAAGCAACAAATGGTGTGAGAAATAGGAAAATCCTTAAGTTATCATATTATTTGTGCTTCTCCTCTTTGGGCCTCTGGGAGAGCTATACAGCCTTATGCTAATCCCATCACTCCTTAGTCGTCCTCATAAATTTATCTTTACCCACATTTCCTGTGGCTGAAGAAAATCAAAGAGCCAGGAGTAGTCTAAAATCCCCATTGAAATATTAGCTCTGACCTCCTCCTATACCAAATCTTTCCCTAATGCCAATTAAAAGAAAGAAAGAAAGAAAGAAAGAAAGAAAGAAAGAAAGAAAGAA